ACAATGCGGTCAGAGCCACCGCTGAAGCAAAAAGGCTGAGGGACAAGGCTGCCCATGATGGGGCAGTTCTGGAAAACATGGTGGAGGAGGGTCAGGCCCTGGGCAGGGAGGAGGGGGCTGAGGTGGTGGCCGGGCATGAAACCTGGTGGAGGAGAGAGGCCAGAGAGGCTGCCAGCAAGGCAACAAGGGCCACCATGGTGAGACAGCGGCTGGAGGCGGCCCTGGAGCTGCTGGAGCGCTTGGTGGCCATGTGTGACAAAGCCGCCGTGTTCCCCTGGTAGCTGCGGCGCAGGGTTGGGGACATCAACACTGCCCTGAAGGGGACAAATGGGGCGTCCCCCGATGTCCCCGAGGGCTTGGTGGCCAAAGTGGCCGAGGCCGAGCAGCTGTGGGAGGCCAACGCCCGCCTGGCCAAGGATCACCTGCTGGGGACACTTCAGGACATCAAGTTCTATTTCACTATTGGTCCCGACCCCCAGAATGCCTGTGGGGTGGCCGAGCGGTGCCAAAGAGCCATCGAGGACATCCCAAGGCTCCTTCAACCCCCAGAGTGTCCCCAGAGCATCCCCGAGGTGTCCCCAGTGAGCATGGAGCCCCAAAAGGTGGGATGGGGGAAGAGGTGGATAGAGTGGACAGCGGGGGAGGTGGGATGTGGGCAGGGGAGGGGACAGTGGGGGATGGGAGGACATGGTGAGGGAGGGGACATGGGGGCTTTGGTGGGGGGGAGCAGAGGATGGCAGAGGGAACAGCAGAGGGGCAGGAGAGGCTCCGGGCAGGGGGTGTCAGAGGGAACAAGAGGCTGACAAAGGAATGGAGGGGACAAAGGGGATCTTTCAGGCGCAGCGGGCCACCCCAGGAGGCCGTAAGTGCCACCAGGTCCCTGACACCTCCCTTGTTCCCTCCCCAGCTGTCCCCGGCCCTGCTGCAGCCACAGGTCACCATGGTGGCTATCCTGGGCGAGCTGCTGGACACCCTGCCCAGGTTGGATGAGATGAATGTGCTCACGTCCCGATGGGGCCTGTACTGGGACCTGGAATACTTCAAGAGGAACCTACGGGCCACCCTGTACCGCACTGATAGCACCTGGTGGCGCCACAAAATCACCTCTGATGATGATGCCCCTGTTACCTCACTGAGCTGGGCCCTGGCTGCCTACAAGAGCACCCCAGGGACCACCTGGGAACATGTGACAGGGGCAGTCAGTGAGTGGCGGTCGTCAGTGTCTGTGCTTGTGGACAACTGGGCCCAGCTGGCCAGGAAGGCCACCAAGCTCCCCAATGCCTGTAAAGATTTGGCCACCAAGGTGGCCAACAGGGCAGTCACC